TTGACAGAGCATTTATCAAAAATGATGTCCAACAAGCATGGCAAGAAAAATTCCTAAAACACACCTTTGTAAAACCAAATTGGGAGAATGAATCAGCATTCTCTGCATGGAAAAGCACTTATAAAAAATTAATGCAAATCTCTGGATATCTATTTAATGATAATTTTAAAGCAGAAGAATATAATCATCTCAAAACAAGAATGCTTATAAAAATACAAAAAGCAATTCATCATGCTAACCCAACAACTTTACAAGAATTTTGGGATGTAGGAGAAAGAGCATTCCAAGCAGAAAGACATATAATATTACAAAGTGAAAAAATTAACTTTGAAAAACTAGCCAACATCAAAGTACTCAAAGTGAATAATGCAAAATTTACTAAAAAAAAACAATCTCAAAAGAAAGTCTCAATAAAAAACATTGATACTTTACAAAGTGACAAACCTAAAAGAAACTGCTTTAAATGTGGAAAACCAGGACATTTTGCCAAGAATTGCTACTCAAATACTAAGAAAGACTCCTTTAACAACATAAATAATTAGAAACTTAAAAAGAAAAGATTTTGTTCACAATGTGGAAAACCATACCCAAAACATTATCCAGAATGTACTCGAAATAATGAAACACATATAAATGGGAAAAAAGTAAGAAGAAGAACAGTACCAATGGAAATAGGAAGATTCAAGAAAGGAAACTTTTCAAAGAAACCTTACAATAAAGGAAAAGAAAAACTATATAAAAGGAAATTCACCAAAAAGAAATTCTGACATTACAAAGGAAATGAAGAAGAAAGTAAAGAAGAATACTATTCAGAATCTGAAGAAAAAACTGAAAAATCAGATAATGAAGAAGTTATAACTGCAAATAATCTTTATAAAACCATTCAAAAGAAAGTTAATTCTTTTGAATAGGGGACTTACCTAGTGTTCGAGAGAAAACCTCAAAGAAACTTTCTAAAGGCTACACTAGAGAGAACATAAACACTATTAGTATAACCAAAATACAAAAAATTAATAATATCAAATATATTAACTCTAAAATACTTAATAAAAATCCTATTAGGCCATGCAAAATTAATTTCTTGGTTTTTATAACCCGGCCGGGTCTAAAAATCCAAAATCGGGATTTTTAATTTTTTTAAATTTAGCCAATAGGAATATAGATCTATAGATTA